TGGCTGTAACCACCAGTAACTATGGTCACACCTGGCTGTAACTACCAGTAACTATGGCCACACACCTGGCTGTAACTACCAGTAACTATGGCCACACCTGGCTGTAACTACCAGTAACTATGGCCACACCTGGCTGTAACCAGTAACTATGGCCACACACCTGGCTGTAACTACCAGTAACTATGGCCACACACCTGGCTGTAACCACCAGTAACTATGGCCACACACCTGGCTGTAACCACCAGTAACTATGGCCACACCTGGCTGTAACCACCAGTAACTATGGCCACACACCTGGCTGTAACCACCAGTAACTATGGCCACACACCTGGCTGTAACCACCAGTAACTATGGCCACACACCTGGCTGTAACCACCAGTAACTATGGCCACACACCTGGCTGTAACCACCAGTAACTATGGCCACACCTGGCTGTAACCACCAGTAACTATGGCCACACACCTGGCTGTAACTATGGCCACACACCTGGCTGTAACTATGAAGAGTGCGCGCTCGTCAATTTATAATTAATAATAACATTTACACAGTCAACTTGACCAACAATTACCATCACAGTTGACGTGTTGGTAGATTAATGAAGCAGACAAGTCAAGCAGACAAGTCAAGCAGACAAGTCAAGCAGACAAGTCAAGCAGACAAGTCAAGCCGACAAAATGTGGTCCGCTCCTTACAGCCTGCGTGTAGCAGCGTCCAATAGCCTAGTTGATCAGCTGTGTAGAAAATTCCACTCATCATGTTAATATTAGTATCTAAGGAATGTATTATTCCATATCATATCTACTGTATCTACATCAGTATCCTTCATCACCATTAGTAAAGTACACCACTGGGACTTAATGCCTGTATTACATGGTAGATGTGATCACAAGATTCTAGAAGCTTCCATATAATACAAAAAATATTGCTGGAACCCAAGTTATAGCTTCCAGTGATGTCATTTCAAACTCCTTAATAAAGAACAAAAGGTACTATCAAGTAGTGTTAATTATCTTTAAATCCGCTAAGTAATCATCTTGTGATATAATTTTATCACAATGATCAATCTCAATAATGAAAATAAACATTTTATAATCCTTGCCGGCGGCAGCTCCACTGTGGAGGGAAGGCCACCAGCAGCCGCCGATGGGAGAGTACCGTCTGGTGCCTGGCGGCCGCTTGTTCACACCAAGCAATGCACGCGTGGGTACGTCGGGAGACATCTCCCGTCACGCAGGGTGCAGTCGCACCTCCACAGATCTCCAGTATCAGCTCTTGATACCGGTAATGGCTCAAAAGGGCCACCACTTACGGGCTATTCATGCCCGTGCCACCTTTTGGGTGGCTTAATCTTCATCAATCATCAATCAGCGTGGGTACGGTTAGAGAAACTGTTTCAGCAATGAACAAATCCACATTTTTCAGCAAGATATTTACACATATATTTACCGGGCTGTGGTGGGTATGTGGGCCTGCGGGCCGCTCCGAGCAACAGCCTGGTGGACCAAACTCTCACAAGTCAAGCCTGGCCTCGGGCCGGGCTTGGGGAGTAGAAGAACTCCCAGAACCCCATCAACCAGGTATCACACAAACTATTGATAATCTTCAGTGATAGCTCCCTGAATTCTGGGAGAGGTTTTGAACCGTAATTACGGAGGAATTCCTGGTACATGTATCAAAAATTCAAGAGTGTGGAGGCCCCACCACCACCTCGTCTACCAAGTGAGACGCAACAATGTGAATTGACTTGAGAATGGTCCAGGACGGACCGAAACGTCGTCGTCCCTTCACCTTCTGGTGTGTGGTCTGGTCAACATACTTCAGCCACGTTATTGTGACTCCTCGCCTGCACCAATGTGCACTCCATATCTGAGCAAGCAATTATAATCCTGACAACAACGCTGTCACATCCAAATCATCATCATCAAGCTGCAATATTTATCATTAAAATATTGACCCTTGTTTCAGCAAGAGACCAGGTACTAGGTAGGAGGCCTGGTCGAGGACCGGGCCGCGGAGTCGCCAAGCCCTGAACCCCCCCCCCCCTCCAAAGACCACCTGGCTACTGTGAGCTAGGCTCCGGTTCTCAATTTCAGGATAAGTTATTAATTGTTTTGGAGCTTAGATTGGCCAATTAGCATGCTTTATAGCATTAATGCGTACATATATAAATTGAGAGTCATTAGGCAACGCATCATCAGTAAGTTCTGACAATCTTTTTAGTGAATGAACCACCTATATGGCTGAGTATTTATAATTCTTGGGTATATAATTCTTTACTATAACTCTTCATACATTTAATTGTCTTATCTTTCATTAGTATTAATTGTATTCATTAAGAAATGTAAAGTACCAGTAGTGCGAGCACTCAGCGTAATATGGAGAAAGAGCCTGGATACAGGGGAGATACCAGCTGCACTTAAATCAGCAGATATAGCTCCGCTGCACATGGGAGGGAGTAAGGCCTTGGTAAACAATTATAGACCAGTGCACTAACATCACACATAATAAAAGTTTTCGAAAGGGTGATTAGGAATCAACTTTCTAGTTTTATGGAAAATATGGATTTAGGCTTTAGAGCGGGCAGATCCTGTCTGTCACAGTTACTCAACCACTATGACAAAATCACAGAAGCCCTAGAAGAAAAGCAAAATGCAGATGTTGTATACACAGACTTTGCAGAGGTATTCGACAAATGTGACCATAGGGTGATAGCACACAAAATGAGGTCAATGGGAATAACTGGTAAAGTAGGACGCTGGATACTCAATTTCCTGTCGAACAGAACACAAAGAGTAACAGTCAATCAAATAAAATCGAGTCCAAGCGCAATTAAAAGTCCTTGCACCACTGCTGTTCCTTATTCTCATATCAGATATAGACAAAAATACACGTCACAGCTTCGTGCCGTCCTTTGCAGATGACACAAAAATCAGCATGAAAATTACCTCTGCGGAAGACATTGAAAAACTACAAGATGTCAACAAAGTTTTCGACTGGGCAGCAGAAAATAACATGATGTTTAACAGTGATAAATTCCAGGTACTCAGGTACGGTAAAAATGAGGACCTTAAACATAATACAGAGTACAAAACACAATCAAATGTACCCATAGTAGGAAAACAGCATGTCAAGGATTTGGGAATAATAATGTCTGACGACCTAACGTTTAAGGAGCATAACCAAGCAAATATTGCGACAGCCAGAAAAATGATAGGATGGATTACGAGAACTTTCAAATCCAGGGATCCCATCACAATGGTTGTACTCTTCAAGGCACTTGTGTTGTCCCGTCTTGAGTACTGCTCAGTACTCACTTCCCCCTTCAGAGTAGGAGAGATTGCTGAAATAGAGGGAGTACAGAGAACGTATACGGCACGCATAGACGAGATAAAACACCTAAATTATTGGGATCGTCTCAAAGCTCTCCAAATGTACTCTCTAGAAAGGAGACGAGAGTGATACCAAATAATATACACATGGAAATTACTGGAGGGACAGGTCCCAAATCTGCACAATAAAATAACAACATACTGGAGTGAACGATATGGAAGAAAATGCAGAATAGAACCAGTGAAGAGCAGAGGTGCCATAGGCACAATCAGAGAACACTGTATAAACATCAGTGGTCCGCGATTGTTAAACACCCTCCCAGCGAGCATCAGAAATATGCCGGAACAACCGTGGACATCTTCAAGAGGAAACTAGATTGTTTCCTCCAAGGAGTTCCGGACCAACCTGGCTGTGGTAGGTATGTGGGTCTGCGGGCCGGTCCAAGCAACAGCCTGGTGGACCAAACTCTCACAAGTCAAGCCTGGCCTCGGGCCGGGCTTGGGGAGTAGAAGAACTCTCAGATTAATTGATAATCTTATGGACGGCCCATCAAGCAGGTATCTATTACCTTAATTTATCAAGTTAGTTTATTTTATTGCATATAATAATTTTTGTATGCAAATGTACATACACCTCGTGTAATTATACCGTGTGCGCAAGATCACATGTTGCTCGGACCAGGCTAGAGGGTGTATAGTTCAGCTGCTAGATCATGAACCTTGCCAGTGCTTGCCGTCATAGAGCTGTTTTATCATATTCATGTAAGGAATACATGTTAAATGTGTGGGTATACCCGCGGGTATATTGTGTTCTGCAGGTTATGAGCCAGATCAGCCTTAGGGACCCTGTCTGCTACCACCCATTACCAGTACCAAGGCTACAGAGGAGTGCACTTACTACCCAGCATAGGAACCTTGCATGCAGCTAAGAGCTTTTAGTTTTGCCCACATACCCACCACAGCCCGGTTGGTCCGGTCTGTGGTGGGTATGATGATGTCTAGATGATGTCCACGGTTGTTCCGGGCTGTGGTGGGTATGATGATGTCTAGATGATGTCCACGGTTGTTCCGGGCTGTGGTGGGTATGATGATGTCCACGGTTGTTCCGGCAATATTTCTGATGCTCGCTGGGAGGACGTTGAACAACCATGGACCTCTGATGTTTATACAGTGTTCTCTGATGTGCCTATGGCAACCCATAAGCACATTTGTCACACTGCAATTCTCCTGTTCATCAATACTCCGGGGCCAGATTCACGAAGCAGTTACGCAAGTACTTACGAACGTGTTCATCTTTCCTCAATCTTTGACGGCTTTGTTTACATTTAATAAACAGTTTACAAGCATGAAAACTTGCCAATCGACTATTGTTCTTGTTATAAACAGCCTCCTGGTGCTTCGGGGCTCATTACTGTTTAATAATTGTAAACAAAGTCGCCAAAAATTGAGGAAAGATGTACAGGTTCATAAGTGCTTGCATAACTGCTTCGTGAATCTGGCCCCTGGTATATTACCCCACAACATGACGCTAATCTTCGACGCCTCCTCCAGAATAAGACAAGATGGGTAATGAAATACTTATTTCAGTTGGTAGTGCGGATGTATATATGGGGCCCAGGGACGGGTATATGGGGCCCAGGGACGGGTATATGGGGCCCCAGGGACGGGTATATGGGGCCCAGGGACGGGTATATGGGGCCCAGGGACGGGTATATGGGGGCCCAGGGACGGGTATATGGGGCCCCAGAGACGGGTATATGGGGCCCCAGAGACGGGTATATGGGGCCCCAGAGACGGGTATATGGGGCCCCAGAGACGGGTATATGGGGCCCCAGAGACGGGTATATGGGGCCCCAGAGACGGGTATATGGGGCCCCAGAGACGGGTATATGGGGCCCCAGAGACGGGTATATGGGGCCCCAGAGACGGGTATATGGGGCCCCAGAGACGGGTATATGGGGCCCAGGGACGGGTATATGGGGCCCAGGGACGGGTATACGGGGCCCCAGAGACGGGTATATGGGGCCCCAGAGACGGGTATATGGGGCCCCAGAGACGGGTATATCGGGGCCCAGGGACGGGTATACGGGGCCCAGGGACGGGTATACGGGGCCCCAGAGACGGGTATACGGGGCCCCAGAGACGGGTATACGGGGCCCCAGAGACGGGTATACGGGGCCCCAGAGACGGGTATATGGGGTCCCAGAGACGGGTATATGGGGTCCCAGAGACGGGTATATGGGGCCCCAGAGACGGGTATACGGGGCCCAGGGACGGGTATACGGGGCCCCAGAGACGGGTATACGGGGCCCCAGAGACGGGTATACGGGGTCCCAGAGACGGGTATACGGGGTCCCAGAGACGGGTATACGGGGTCCCAGAGACGGGTATACGGGGCCCCAGAGACGGGTATACGGGGCCCAGGGACGGGTATACGGGGCCCAGGGACGGGTATACAGGGCCCAGGGACGGGTATACGGGGCCCAGGGACGGGTATACGGGGCCCAGGGACGGGTATACGGGGCCCCAGAGACGGGTATACGGGGCCCCAGAGACGGGTATATGGGGCCCCAGAGACGGGTATATGGGGCCCCAGAGGCGGGTATATGGGGCCCCAGAGACGGGTATATGGGGCCCAGGGACGGGTATACGGGGGCCCAGGGACGGGTATACGGGGCCCAGGGACGGGTATACGGGGCCCAGGGACGGGTATACGGGGCCCAGGGACGGGTATATGGGGGCCCAGGGACGGGTATATGGGGGCCCAGGGACGGGTATATGGGGCCCCAGGGACGGGTATATGGGGGCCCCAGGGACGGGTATACGGGGGCCCCAGAGACGGGTATACGGGGGCCCCAGAGACGGGTATACGGGGGCCCAGGGACGGGTATACGGGGGCCCAGGGACGGGTATACGGGGGCCCAGGGACGGGTATACGGGGGCCCAGGGACGGGTATATGGGGCCCCAGAGACGGGTATATGGGGCCCCAGAGACGGGTATATGGGGCCCCAGAGACGGGTATATGGGGCCCCAGGGACGGGTATATGGGGCCCCAGGGACGGGTATATGGGGCCCCAGAGACGGGTATATGGGGCCCAGGGACGGGCATATAGGGGCCAGGGACGGGTATATTGTAACACCCAGGACCTTCCCCCCCTTAGAGTTCACACCCAGGGAAGCCTTCTCCAAGAGGTCAGCCCAGATGACCTCCGGTTTATCTTGTATATTGATTAAAAATTCCTGGGTTAGTCTTAGTCAGCATAGTTTCAAGTATGTAATATTTCAGGCAAGGGAATTAGACTCCAGATTCTTATGTGTAAACATCCTTGGATCTCCCCCTTTTGGCCAGGTCAGAGGTCAGTCACACATGTAATTAATAACTCCTCTCTTGAAGAGTGTATGCTGAATGTCAAACAAGCTTATTGAAATATTTCTTGAGTGTTTGTACACGTGTGGCCGACTTCTTACATTCTTGGTGTAGGTAGCAACAGCTGATCTCCCCCCCTCCCCCCTGTGGGGGTTGTATATAGAGGTCCTGTAGGAACATAGAAAAGGGAGAGTGCGGTACACCGGGATCGAGAGCGGGTCTGTGAAGAACATCTCAGCCCGGGAGAGACAGAGGTCTTAAGGTAATGTGTGTGATCTCTGAGGTTTTGTTCCATGTCCAAATTTCTTAACTTTGCCAGTGTTAGAGTAGGATTTATAAGTGATGATTGACATAATTTTGGTCTCAATAAACTTTTGTTAAATTTCCCGTCTGTGTCAATTGTTGAATCCTCTTAGCCTTTTGGATATAGTGGCTGACAACCGTCCCATAATTAATGACAGTCATAGAAAGTACTCTCCTAGTCAAGCAATGCTTCTTGCCTCGTTGCTTGATATAGTCTCAATGGTCAAAGGCAGATGGTGGCAGCGTATTTAATCCTTGTGTTAGCATTTCCTTATTTGCAGTGTACCTTTGGTTCCGGTGTAACCATCATATGTCAGCTCATAACAGTGTTACCAAGTGCAACCAATGAGGAAGTGTTACTCAGGATCAGTAGTGTTTACATTAGTAACTATTTTTTGGTGTACATTATAGTGGTGTTTCATTATGGTGGTACACTGTAGGGCGGTGTTACACTAGGGTGGTGTTACAATATGGGGGCCAGGGACGGGTATATGGGGGCCAGGGACGGGTATATGGGGGCCAGGGACGGGTATATGAGGGCCAGGGACGGGTATATGGGGGCCAGGGACGGGTATATGGGGGCCAGGGACGGGTATATGGGGCCAGCGACAGGTATAAAAGATGATGAGAGAGGAAGGGTAAGTCCCCCCTAAGGTCTCCCTACATCAAGAAACTGTCTACTAAAGTGCCCTTATCCTAACCTACCAGAGGACCCACAACAGAAAACGGGACAGTATGTTAATTCCGCGAGCCGCTGCCATCTTCTGGCTCGACAATTTTTGGCCTTACAATAACACGTCAGAATGAGACGTGCTGTTAAGACTGAGGGTTGGAGGAACAGGGGCCCGACAGCTGAGTGGACGGCGCTTTGGATTCGTAGTCCTGAGGTTCCGGGGTCGATCCCCTGTGGAGGCGAAAACAAGTGGGTCGTTTCTTTCACCCTGATGCTCCTGTTCACCTAGCAGTAAATGGGTACCTGGTAGTTAGACAGCTGCTGCTTCCTGAGGGAGGGGGTGTAACAAAAGAGGAGACCTGGTCGAGGACCGGGCCACGGGGACGCTAAGCCCCGAAATCATCTGAAGATACCCTCAAAATAACCATTACCTACACCTGTGTATAGGCAGGTGTTCCGTAAGACTGATTGGTATATCAACCTTCCAAACTCCAAGTCTGTCCTCGACCTCCTGGTTGCTGGACTGATCAACCAGGCTGTTGGACACCGGCTGCTTGCAGCCTGACGTATGAGTCACAGCCTGGTTGATCAGGTATCCTTAAGAGGTAATTATCCAGTTCTCTCTTGAACACTGTGAGGGGTCGGTCAGTTATGTCCCTTATGTGTAGTGGAAGCGTGTTGAACAGTCTCGGGCCTCTGATGTTGATAGTTCTCTCTTGAACACTGTGAGGGGTCGGTCAGTTATGTCCCTTATGTGTAGTGGAAGCGTGTTGAACAGTCTCTGGCCTCTGATGTTGATAGTTCTCTCTTGAACACTGTGAGGGGTCGGCCAGTTATGTCCCTTATGTGTAGTGGAAGCGTGTTGAACAGTCTCTGGCCTCTGATGTTGATAGTTCTCTCTTGAACACTGTGAGGGGTCGGCCAGTTATGTCCCTTATGTGTAGTGGAAGCGTGTTGAACAGTGTCGGGCCTCTGATGTTGATAGTTCTCTCTCAGAGTACCTATTGTACTTGAACTGATCTTCGTTAAACATCATATTATATTCTGTAGTCCATAGAAAGATTTGATTTACATCTAAATGGAGGTTCGCCTTGTCGTCTATGTTGTCTACTCTACTGGGCTCTATCATATCTACACTTAAAACTGTGTATGGAGTCAGCCTCCACCACATCACTGCCTAATGCAGTCCACTTGTTAACTACTCTAACACTGAAAAAATTTCTAAATTTTCTTTCTTTCTTTCTGAAAAAGTTCTTTCTTGCCGAACAGACATTGACACCTTCATTTCCTCAAAGGTCGAGTTTGGCTGTAGGAGCTGGTCTGCATCACCGCCGGGCGATGATATAGGTATGTGGGCCCGCGGGCTGCTCCAAGCAACAGTCTGTTGGACCAAGTTATCACAAGTCGAGCCTTGCTTCAAACCGCACTCAGCGAGTAGCAGAACTCCCGAGACCCTCTCCAGGTAACATCCAGGTAAAACAGCTGAAGACGACGCCTCAGTGGACGCTGCAGATTTAGTAAAATATAACATTGCATTAGGCCTACGTAACTGAGTGCATTTGCGCGCTAAAACCTGTCGCAGATTTTTTTTACATAAAAATAATTCATAAAACAACATCATGACGGAATGACCACAGACATAAACATGCCAGATGTACACGCACACATAGGGCGCTGGTGGCTGAGTGGACAACACGCTGGACACGTAATCGGGGGTTCGATGCCAGGCGCCGGCGAGAAACAAAATGGGCAGTTTCTTTCACCTTGATGCCCCTGTTACCTAGCAGTAAATAGGTACCTGGGAGTTAGTCAGCTCTCACGGGCTGCTTCCTCTGTCTGTCTGTGTGTGTGTGTGTGTGTGTGTGTGTGTGTGTGTGTGTGTGTGTGTGTGTGTGTGTGTGTGTGTGTGTGTAAAAAAATAGTAGTTAGTAACAGTTGATTGATTGACAGTTGAGAGGCGGGCCGAAAGAGCAGAGCTCAACCCCCGCAAGTACAATTAGGTGAATTACACAACACTGTGTACACACATGAACTGCTCTACACCTACACCAGCCTCTATGCTTACAGAGCTCTACACCTACACCAGCCTCTATGATTACAGAGCTCTACACCTACACCTGCCTCTATGATTACAGAGCTCTACACCTACACCTGCCTCTATGCTTACAGAGCTCTACACCTACACAACACCTTACATTTCTGTCGAAAAGTCAAGGATGTATATATACACATGTACATATATACATGTGTATGTAACATTAACAATTGTGTGACTAGCTTCAGAAACTTGTCACTTGGTTAGCTAAACGAATTGTCATGATGTGTGAAGCGAGGGGGTGGTGGTGTGGGGGGGGGTGTTGGTGTAGTTGGTGTGGGGGGGGGGGGGGGGGGGGTGGGGGGAGGGAGAGGGAACACAGTGCTATATAAGAGGGAAAGTTACAGAGGGCCGCCACTGGCCACCAGATGGCAACCTCTCCCCACTGACCCTGGGGCCGCCAGTTGCCAACTTGTACAGGTTTAACTCACGCTTTTGTGTAATAGTGGCGTGTAATAGTGGCGTGTAATAGTGGCGTGTAAGTTATGGTATTGTGTAACAGGCAGTATGTCAAATGACAGGTTGGATAACAAGAACCTCTCACACTAGAGATGCTATACCGATGATAATACTCTTCAAGACGCTAGTGCTCTCTAGAGTGGAGTACTGCTGCACAATGACAGCACCTTTCAAAGCTGGAGAAATTGCTGACCTGGAGAGCGTGCAGAGATCCTTTACTGCTAGAATCCACTCAGTAAAACATCTAAACTATTGGGACCGACTAAAGAGCCTAAAACTGTATTCTCTTGAGCGCAGGCGGGAGAGATGCATAATAATTTACACGTGGAAAATAGTAGAGGGGCTGATCCCAACCCCCCCACACCGGGGTCGCCAACCCCCCCCCACACCGGGGGCGCCAACACCCCCCCACACCGGGGTCGCCAACCCCCCCACACCGGGGTCGCCAACCCCCCCACACCGGGGGCGCCAACCCCCCACACCGGGGGCCGCCAACCCCCTACACCGGGGGCGCCAACCCCCCCACACCGGGGGCGCCAACCCCCCCCACACCGGGGGCGCCAACCCCCCCCACACCGGGGCGCCAACCCCCCCCCCACACACCGGGGGCGCCAACCCCCCCACACCGGGGGCGCCAACCCCCCCACACCGGGGGCGCCAACCCCCCCACACCGGGGGCGCCAACCCCCCACACCGGGGGCGCCAACCCCCCCACACCAGGGGCGCCAACCCCCCCACACCAGGGGCGCCAACCCCCCCAACACCGGTGGCGCCAACCCCCCCACACCGGGGGGCGCCAACCCCCCACACCGGGGGCGCCAACCCCCCACACCGGGGCGCCAACCCCCCACACCGGGGGGCGCCAACCCCCCCACACCGGGGGCGCCAACCCCCCACACCGGGGGCGCCAACCCCCCACACCGGGGTCGCCAACCCCCCACACCGGGGGGCGCCAACCCCCTACACCGGGGGCGCCAACCCCCCCACACCGGGGGGCACCAACCCCCCACACCGGGGGGCGCCAACCCCCCACACCGGGGGCGCCAACCCTTCACACCGGGGGCGCCAACTTAGCAGTATACCTTCAGTGGGATCGAGGACCCGGAGGCCGGCTGCCCCTGAAACTAAGTCCAACTCTCCGCAGAGTTCAACTTGTCTGCACTTCAGCCCAAGTTGGCACACACCTTTACCCTGCCCAGCCTACACTTACTTTCCA